ACACCAAGATAATAAATATTGTAAACACAATAAACCTACCTTCACATGCTGGCTACCCAATCATGCTTTAGTAGATCCTACCCCAAACAGGATTTCTACCCACATTCTTTGTTTATCCTAACCTCATGTCATCTAGTTCGCATGCTTATTCGAAAAATTAAACCTAACTGCATGATCTCTAGTTCGCATACATTTATTCGAGAAATTAAAATTTCACTAAAGAATGCTCAAATAAGCTTTTCCTTGTGTACTCTCCTCACAAAATCATATGGTATGGCCAAGGCCGTATCTGGGTTCTACGTTTACTACATGATGGGTTCGGTTCTAAAGTAAGGGGTCCTAGAATCGTCATTTGCCCGTGCCCCCTTGGGCTACTAAACCCTCAATCATGGCCCATCACAGGCTTTCGGATCGAGTTCAATTCAAGGGGACACACTTCCTTATGTCATTGCGGAGGTGAAAATCTCACGAGGATCATAAGGCGTGAGCCCAATGAGCGTTTCATTATCCCGCAAGGAGGTGAAAACCACACGAGGGAGTAGTTTCTTACTCCTACTTAAATAGGACGAAGCGGGGTTTTAGCTCATGTTATGCAAATACAGTTGTGCAGTGTGTGAGGAAAAGAGAAAACAAAGCAAACAACACTGAATAGAAAACTCGAGACCCTGAACAATTATTTAATCTAAAAACATTAACAAACATATCAGTACAACTATTTAGTGGTTAAGCAAATTAGAGTCAAAATGCAAACAAAACTTATTTAAAACCAAACAAGGGATAAAAAACCAAATTACAACGAACTTGTAATTTTATTTGCAAAGACAATTTATTAATCGACTAATGGCCTGACTCTCTAAAAGTCCCCAGCGGAGTCGTCAAGCTATCGAAATGACATTTTTCTCAAAGGAGCGAGATTTTGGAAAACCACACCATTTTTAATTTACCTCTCAATTTGATTAATTTTTAATTAAAAAGTAATGTGATTTTAGAAAACCTCTCGTTTCGAAAATTTGGAAATTACTTTATGATAAGAAAAACATACGGTTTGAAGAGTCGCCACCAATATTTGATTAGGATGTGATTGGACACCCAAAAACCTTTTTTGTCATTCTAAATAAAATAACAATTTTAATTAAAACAACAAATGGAGGTCCGCATTATCAGAAAATGAGTTCAAGAGTCGGTTACGCGACACAATGCCCAAAATCGGTACCTAGTCAATTAATTAATGTCCTTGAAAAGAAACTTACAAATTCGATTTTAACTTGATTTATGATCCCCAACAAAACAACAACATGAATTTTACAATATTCAAAAGCACCAAAACAGATTAAAATTACCCTACCTTTTAGAAAGATAAATAATATTCAATTATTTAAAAATATCGAGACCAGATCTTAGATGAGGTATAATAACCTTTTCTCGACAAATTTAAATGGCCAAACATTTCTTTTTCTTACATTCCCAAATTTTAAAGCGATGAATCAATTTTTAGGTGTTACTAATGGAATATACTTCTAATTTGAAATAGTCAAAAGCATATATCTAATATGTTAAGACAACCCACTTAAAACAATTTTAAATTAAAAGGGCATTACCCTTAATCCAATTATGTAATAATGTCGAGTTATGCACGTGAAGATAACATGCGAAAATTAATGTAAAAAATGTCATACGATTTGTAAATTAATCACTTGTATACTTGCACATATGTAAACATATCAATATGCAAAATAATATAACTAATTAAATAAAACCCTAATCATGGAGTAACACATATATCAAAACATTTAATGCTTCCATACAAAACATATATAATAAGATTGTATATATAATATTAAATGCAAAGTCACTTTAGCACACATAATTAGTATATTACATGTGGAGAACACTTAATGATTCCATACAAAACATATATATAATAAGATTTTATATATAATATTAAATGTAAAGCCACTTAGCACATAATTAGTTACAATGATACAAGACATAAGACATCATTTGTACACAGCATTTATATATATAGAATATATAAAAACAAATCCTAAATAAACATAGATTTACACATATATTAATTATAATATGATGTACATTACAACAATTAGTAAACATGAAATAAACTATATGCACAACATGTATGTAAATTTATTTTATATAATATTAAGTCACATGTAACCACCATAAGTCATGACATGAAAAAATGCAAGTGACCAAAATATAAATAACATAATTACCAACATTGAAATAAAAATAAATCCCTAAACATGTATAGGATTATAATGGAAAAAAATTCAAAATGACAAACCAAATAAAAACAAACAAAATAACTTGACTCCAACCAGGGATCAAAATAAAATATGCGTAAAATATGAAGATGAAATTAAAAGTTCATGAAACATGTATTTTATGGACTAAAACTTAATTATTTCCAAATAAAAGCCTATATAAATAACCAATATATAAAAAGCTACAAAACTACTTAATTAAGACACCAAAAAGATGAAATAAAATGAAAAAGAATATGATAACAATACTTAAAGCATAAATGCACGTGAACTTTCAATAAACATTTAATATAAAAAACTTATTTTAAACTAATTTCATCCTAAACCTAAACTAAGACACCCAACAACCTTTCCTTTCTTCTCTAATATGCGGCAGATTCTCCCTCTCTCCCCATTTAATTTTTTTTATTTGTTACTTTGTTTCTATATGAATCATACCAGTGGCCAAGAACCACCATGACCACCACCCTACGCTACCCCGACGAGGGAGGGACCATTCTCCTTCGAAACAAACCAAAATACCGATCCTAAACCCCTATTTTCTCTAAACCGAACCTTTAAACTTTCAAAATCCCTCCTAACCGCAACCTAACACAAAGAATGCACCTTGAACACTTCGACGAACGATTGGTCACCGGTGAGAGCCTTAAATCCGAGGTAAACTCTTTTTTTCCTTATTTTTCTCTCTCGTTCTTCGATTTTTTTTTATTTTTTATTTTGTTCGAAATCAAAATAAAAAAATAAGAACAAAATACCTGAAATTTTTTTATGTTTTATTACTTTCGTGTTTTGGAAAATATACCGAAAAGGGAACCCCCTCTTTCTGTTACAATGAAAATTCCCCCTAGTTGATCTACAAATTTTCTGCCTTTTCTCAAACTATTTTTTTGTCTGATGAAAAACCCCAACCCTTACAGATTGTTTCCTTCCTTTTATTGTAATGAATCCCATGTTGAAAACCGAGAACATCTTGAAAATGTAATCCTTCCTCCTCTTGTTTTCTGAATCACCCCCCATTTATAACATATTTTTGGTTGCTCAATATTGGCTCTTCCACTAGTGCCCAAATAATGGTGTTTGAGTGGGATTTTAGTGGCATTTCGAGTGTTTATTTGTAATGGTTTCTCCACTAGATTTGATTTTGTTTAAAAATTTATTCAGTGGGTTTGGTTTGGTTGATACTGATTTGGTTGTTTTTAACACATACAATGACGGCAGGTGACTTCAATGGTCGGTGTTCACTGTTGCAGCTGCTCGACGTTCACTGTTACGGCGGTTGGTGTCACTGGCGGTGCTGGAAACCATTTAGGGTTAAAACCCTAATTTAGTTTGGGTCTGATAAGCTTGGGTTGGTTTGTGGTTTTGGGTATGGACTCAGTTTGCTTCGGTCAGTTTGTGGGATTTGGGTTTGGTTGCTTCGGGTCGGTTTGTGGGTCTCGGGTCTTACTGTATTGGATCTGGCATCTAGGTTGTTTATCTGGGCTCCTGATCTACTGGGTTTTGGTGTAGTGGTGGGTCTTGTTGTAATGTGGGCATGCAAACATTGTAACCAAAATTATTATTATTAATAATTCTAATAATAATAATAATAATAATATTATATCAATTTTTTTTGGACCCGGATAAAAACATTGTCTACACGATCCAATTTAACAGAGTTGTTAAGGGAGTATCAGATTCGATCTAAGCACGATTGGGCATCTGTTTCGTTTTTCGCGTCAACCTCCAATCCCACATCTTCTAGGTAAACCTAATTTCATGATTTGCTTTTTCATTGTTTAACTCTTTTTTTTCCTTTTTTTTTTAAAAAAAAAGTTTTACTGTTTTGAACATAAGGTAGGGGAATTTGGAATTTTTTTCATGGTTTTGATTGGATATCTTCATGTGTTACGAGCTCTCTGTGAAATGTTTTCGCTCGAGCCTCTATGGAAGCGTTACCAATTTACTTACATAAGATATGCTTTTATAGTAGAGTTTGGTTAAAATTTTCAGCTTTAGCGATTCTGACATATTTTTAAGTTTCTTCTGAAGTTGTATCTTGCATTTTATTTTCTCAATCAATTGTCATGCTAAGAATTGCAGGAAAATTTCCTTGAAAGATTCTTCTACTAGTTAAATTATTGGTTTGATAATACATTAAAAGTTTGGATGGTCAAAGAAAAAGAAATTGATTTTGGATTTTCATATGAACTGCTATTTAGTCTTGATGATGTCCATCAGAAATTTTGAAATGAGAGAAAGAAAATTAATTGTTGATTCATTTTAATTTTCATCAGAAATAGAAATTAGGTGGCTGAAAGAAGCCTGTAGCGGGGATGGGGATAAAATTAGAGGATTTTTCTTGCTTAAAAAAGGGATGAGTGTTAGTTTAGATTAATACTGCACAACTATTTAAATTAAATTTTTAATACTGTTATACTGCTATTTTGTTGCTAACCTTTGTTTTTGTACTTTTATTTCTGTAATTTATATTTTTCAAATGACCGAGCTGGGAGTTTGATTCTGTAAACAAACTGTATGATGGTAGTAGTATATGTTAATGCTTAGTTCTTGTCATTCACTCAGCTATTATGATTGCGTATCGTGTGTGTCTCGAGTTTCTTCCAAGCTTCCATGAAGTATCTGTAAGAGCATAATGCACCAATTGCTTTCCAATCTGATGGCAATTGGTGCATTATGCAACTGTCTGGATTCTCTCAAATTATGTGGCCGAATATGGCCTTGGTTTGCCCTAAAAAACTCTTGATCGGAGCAGATCTAGAGAAATACCTTCGGGTATTTCGAATGTTTCGTCGGCACGTAGCGTCTCCGGTCACCGCGTGGTTTCCTCGGTAAGTTCTTTCTCCTTCCTTTCTTTCTGTTTTGTTTGCTGCTGAGGGTTGTTGTTATTTTTTTTTCTATGTTTTCTGTTGTCTGTTCGGTATCTCTTCGTTGCTCTCTCTGGTCTGTTGGTTGCTGTCTCCTCTTTCTGTTTGTTCGTCGTTGTTGTGGTCTCTTGTTCTCCGTTGCTCTTTGTCTCCTTTCTTTTTTGTAGGTGAGCCGAGACTTTATAGCTTCGATGAAGCTCTTGTCGGACCGGTCCCAGAGGGGTTTCTCGGTGAGTCACCATAGCTATGGTGGTGACTCACCATAGAGCTCGACGTGGGCGGATGTTATCATGGAAGCAAAACTTTTGGAGTCTTCTATTGGTGGCGTCGTGGCAGCGGCAAAGCAACGTGGAGGTGATGGCAGCAACAGCGGCGGCCGCAACAGCGGCGGCCGCAACAGCGGCGCCGCTTGGTCCCTAGGGTATCATAACCCTAGGGTTTCTTGTTGGAGAGCTTTAGACCGTTGGATCTGGCCAGATCCAACGGTGGATGACATTGGCGGCTAGATGATGATATGTAAACCCTAACTAAGTTTAGGGTTATACATTTGGGCTCTATAGGGCTAGGTGGGTCGTCTGGATTGGATCCAGACATGGGCCTCCATGTTTGGGCTTGTAATTGATATTTTTGGGCTTGTAACAATATTTGTATTTATTTAATAATAATAATAATAAAATAATAAAGTATATTAATAATAACAATAATAATAATAATAATTTTAAAAATAATAATTTAAGTAAAATGAAAAATTAGTGTTTACAGCTGCCCACTCTTTGCTCATTTTTGTGTTAACAAGAATAGAGCAAAGACGAAAAAACAATAATTTTTCATTTGGTGGGATGGAAATGTTTGAAAACACCATGCACTGAAGGTCTTACAGATGACCCGAAGGCTTTGAAAACATCATGCACTGAAGGGCTTACAGATGACCCGAAGGTTTTGAAAACATCTAGCACTGAAGGGCTTACAAATGACCCGAAGGTTTTGAAAACATCAAGCACTGAAGGGCTTACAGATGACCCGAAGGTTTTAAAAAAATCAAGCACTGAAGGACTTACAGATGATCCGAAGGTTTTGAAGACATCAAGCACTGAAGGACTTACAGATGACCCGAAGGTTTTAAAGACATCATGCACTGAAGGGCTTACAGATGACCCGAAGGTTTTGAAAACATCAAGCACTGAAGGACTTACAGATGACCCAAAGGTTTTAAAAACATCAAGCACTGAAGGACTTACAGATGGCCCGAAGGCTTTGAAAACATCAAAAAGCTCCCGAAGGTTTTTTGGAAACATCATGCACTGTAGGACTTACAGATGACCCTAAGGCTTTGAAAACATCAAAAAGCTCCCGAATGCTTTTTGGAAACATCATGCACTGTAAGACTTACAGATGTAGGAAATAGTTTAATAAGTAAAAAAACTAAGGAAATCGTTTTCTTACTTTTCAACAATTTCATTTTAGAAAAGATAAAATGAGAAACTATGGAAATAGTTTTCTCATTATTTTTCAAAATAACAACATAAAAAAGCTCCCGAAGGCTTTTTGGAAACATCATGCACTGCAGGACATACAGATGTGGGAAATAGTTTACTAAGTAAAAAAACTAAGGAAATCGTTTTCTTACTTTTCAACAATTTCATTTTTAGAAAAGATTGAATGAGAAACTATGGAAATCGTTTTCTCATTATTTTTCAAAATAACATGTTGATTGGGTAACATGCCCCAATCTCAAGATAATGCTCATTTTTTTGGATTGCGTCCATCTCTTCTTCAGATGTTTGTATGATTCCTGTATTTGTGGTTTTGAATACCTTCTTCGTGTAAGGTATTTTTTACCATGAATCTTCTTGTTCTTCCGAAGATCTGTAAAACTTCATGTTTGAATGCACTCAGATGTATCAATGTAATGCATTGTCTATTGTGTAAATGATATTCTTATGAATGCATGAATGTTGATGCAATCTTCATTTAACTTCAAAGTGGTGAACTTGGTCTTCCTTCACTTCATCATTTATTGCCAGGGTTACCTCTCGATATCAGTGTGGAAACTTATGCTATCAAACTTTCATTTCTGTAGAATCATCTGATCAACTTGTATCTTTGCGTCTTCTTAACTTCATTTAAGTCTCAGAAGAAATGTTTCATTTATGGAACTCTTGTCGTAGTCAAAATTATGACCATGATGCCCCATTTTCTTTGGTAACACCGGCTTTCTTTGTCTAGACTTATGTAGAAATCCAATAAAGCTTTCATCTTTGAAAAGAGAATATATCATCTTTGAAGAGTGTAGATGTAGATATGCTTGACTCAGCAGGGATTAATTAGGAGAGTAGAGTCTGTTCTAATTTAACTCTTGAAACACATCACAAGGAAAATTTATTCTAATTCCTTTCATGTCTCCACATATAATAAGATCTCGAATAAGGCAACTTGGACCATATCATGTCGAGATGTTTAATAACAACCTGCCGTTCAACCTTAGTTGGCTCCACTAGTTTCTTGTTTAAAATTTCAGCTCTCCTTTTGTGGAAAGAAATCTTCATTATATCTTATTTCTAATCTTAGGGTTGAAGAAGACAGACTTCATCTTGTATTAATAAAGGAAAACCATATGATAACAACATTGGTTCAACACCATAATCACTGGTTCATAAAATATTTGACAACACATTCTTCATCTCCTGTGGCTTCTACTCGAATTGTTGGTCAATGAAGCTCTTTGCATGGTGTTCAAAGCTTTTATATGATGTCACAAGACCACTTGAGAACAAAACTCAATGGGAATACAAGTGAAATGCTGGTGTGACCAAAAAGTTGATCAAATTCTCAAGATATGCTAGTGATGAATTGAATGAGAGATACCAATTGATCTTGATATTGTCTCAGGCAAGGGTAAGTGTGATATTGATCACGTTTTCTTCTGTAATGAGCATTGTAGAAATTAGAAACACCTCAGCTATAGGATCCATGTACAGAAAGATATCCGTGGATTTCTTGCTGTTGGGGATAAAACGTACACGATAAAACCCAAAATAGATAAAAATTCAGTTCAGCCTGGCTGGCAATGATAGCCCAGTAATAGCGGGAATAACAGTAATGTAAGTGAGTCGAGTCTCCCTTTCCAATATCATCGATTAAGCGAAAACTATTGTGAAAACAGCTTTGTAATCCCAACAGTATGGTTGAAACTAACTGCCATGAATCTCAAAGAAATATTTCCAATCATCACCGACACACATAATACAAAATTCAAAGCTGAGATCTTGAGGAACTGAACCCTGGATCGAGTAGTCTACCTGGGGATCATCTTTATTCATGCAATCATGATGTAGTTTATCAAAGAACACATTGTCATGTGACACATGGTTTAAGAAGATTGGGTATTTAAAACCATACTTGCTGAGTATATATTTGTTCAACAACAGGACCCTAATGCAACTGCATGATGAACGAAGCAATATAGTCAGCTCGACTGTCACTGTTTTATCATTTTCATTCTTCATATCTTTCTGTCTCATTGGAAATATTTTCTCAAATCAATGATCTTTAACACATGATGATATGGGCCTTCAGCATATCCCAACATTACTAAAAAAATGCATCAACAGTCCTAATTCTGATTGAAAGGGGCTTTTAGCATACCCCAACATTGGTTTCTTGTTAATGTGAGCTTTCAAAATGCCCAAATATTCATACTGGCGTGGGCCCTCAGAATGCCCCACATGAATCATTTCTGTCTGAAATGGGCTTTCGATATGCCCCAACATTTGCTAATACAAACGTTCAAAATACAACAATATTCCTGATTCTATTTGAAAGGGGCTTTCAGCATGCCCCAGTATTTGCTTCTTGTTAATCTGAGACTTCAAAATACCTCATATGGATCTGTCTGAAGTAACCTTCAAAATGTCCCAACATTCTATTTCTGGTTGAAATGAGCCTCCAAGAATACCCAAAATGACCCACTATTCTATTTTTGTTTGAAATGGGTTTTCAAGATGTCCCGCATGAATCTGTCTGAATTGGACCTTTAGAATGCCCCCAACCTTCTAAACTGTAAGGCTTACTTCCAATGTTTGTTTGATTTCAATACCGTGATCCCCACGAGGTTCAATTTTGACAATGTACTGTTGTGGGTACTTGTAGCTTTATTCATGCCTCAAATATGTTTATCTTGAATACTCTCATTCTGGTGTCACTAAACAGCAGTTGTCAAGTAACTTGAGGAAATATCTTCATGTTGTCACAAACTTAAGAAGTGCTCAATCATTCTGACGGAAATGACAGAGATATGTGTCTTTTGAATGAGGTGACTATTTTCTGTATCTGGAGGGATCTAGTCAGACAGAGCAGTAAAAATAGCTTGGTAATCTGTTCCAGGCTGACACAGTGGATTATTATCTTTCAGTGAAGGCCATCTCTGAAGTATACTTTTCCATAGGAGAGAAAGCAATTTATGCAAACAGTAATCTGATGCACTGGCAAGACTACATATACAATGGTACATGCTCTTTGAAAAATCCACACCCATGCAACATGTTGATTCTGATAACAAATCATCTGATTATGAAGTGATCTTTCAGGATGATTTCACAGATATTGATAGTTCTTTCTGATACCAAGGGAATCCTGAATTCTGATTCTGATTAGGAGAATAAACTGTTATACTTGACAAAAATGGGATTCTCAGAGGCTGAGGCTTCAATAACCATGGAGAGATGTGGTCTAAATTCATCAATTGCAGAATTGACAGATTTTATATGTGCTGATCAAATGCCTAAGGCTACTGACACACTTCTTATGGTAGAAGATAAGAAGTCATTATGCAATGATCCCAATTACAAGCAAAGGCCAAACTTGGGATATGATTTTTGAAAAGGAAGAAGTAGAGGAAGCTCGAAAAGAAGCTTCTTAATGAAGACGATCATGCAGTTCATCTTTCAATTCCAATGATTGGTTCTGGGGTTCCTACCAAACCAGATCAGATAACTCAAAGAACACTTCCAGAAGATGCTATTAGGTCTCCTTATTTCTACTATGAGAACGTGGCACTTGCTCCAATTAGTGTTTGGACCGAAATGTCACGGTACTCATACGATGCAGAGCCAAAATTTGTAGATTCAAAGTATTTTTGTGTTGCTTCACATAAAAGGGAATACGTTCATAATCTGCCCATTGAGAATAGATTTCCTCTTATTATGCTTCTTCCACGCACCATACATGATGC